CATATAGAACCAGCATAGGCTACAGTGTTGAGGAAAAAGTTGCCACGTGATTTTTCTCAGTAAAAAATCTTGCCCTCTTGGAGCAGACAATGAAGATACACATTTTCATATGGCCCAAAGAGACAGGATGGCTTTGACCAAGCTGGCAAAAATTATCTCAAGGAAAGTGCTGGAGACACCATAATGTTTTAAATGCCTTTAAAAAACCCATCTTTTTATTTTAGCAGGCTTCCCCAGCCATTGAGTAGTGTATGTGTGTGTTTGTGTGTGTATTCATCCAGCCTTTTAAGGGATTGCTCATCTGATATAATTTTATTCCATTTTAATAAGTCATTTTGATCTTGGGATATTGCTTGTATATAGGGTAGGTGCTCAATTAAAAAAATAAATTCAAATTCAGCCACATTCTTCTGTGGAAAATCATCCACAATATGAATCACCGTGCCTTCAATATCTAGAAAATTTTCTCTTTATAAAACTAGCAATAGATACAGCGCAAATCTATATGCAGGTAGGCAACTGTTTTTCAGCTAGGGTCACACTTTGGTTTGCCAGCCAAGGGCCACAGAGAGCCTGGTTGTTGATGTCATTGTTATCACAGGTATAGCCAGAAAAATAAAAAGGCATTTTTGGTAGGAAAGATTATGAGGTTTTAGGCTGTAAATTTTACAGAGGCCCTTTTTGCTCCTTAAAAAAGAATCTCAAAAGAACAAAAAAAATCTTTCCAGGTTTTGAGATTCTGTTTTCTTAAGAGATGGAATTATCACTCTTTAAGGCATATGGCACCCATTTTGCCCCTTAAAACCCCCTCAATTAACCAGTGCCCCAAAACTGGGCAAAAAATATTGGCCTTACCCTATTCAGTTGTACTTCGAGGAACTGCATGAAGGCTGAGAGTTGTCCATAAGAGGTAGCTATGGAAATTTAGACATAAAAAAATCTCATCATATTTATCATCAAGATTGCTCACCTTGGTAATTAAAGTATACACATCAAGTATTTTTGTGGTCATTTGGTAAAGGCCTTCTTTGTCATAGATTCTTCCTTATTCTAACATTTATCTTTTCTCTCGATAATCTAATAAAGATTATCGTACCATTAGAAAAGCTAATAACATTAAACAATAACCCTATTGACATGAAAACAATTAGGATGGGGGGAGCATATTATTCCAGAAGGCGGAGGAAAAAGATCTCGGTAATGCTGCTGAATGGATTAAGGCAAATCTTTCTATTACTGAGAAAAGAAAATTATACCAGCAAGAGTTTCTCAAAGCATCGCAGCAGTGAGTTTGGGTAAGGGGAGAAATAGTGCATGATGAAACTGTCCGTTATGAACATTGTTAGCACTTTTCATAGCAGGCCTAGACTGGCACCAAAGCTGGCAGATCATAATGCTAATTTCTTTGCCTTCAAAAACTTTGCAGACTAATTTCTGCATACCAGACTGCATTAAAACCCACTAGGAAAGGCCAGTCACTTCTGATCAATTGACAAACTTCTTGCAATCATAAATTTAAAAGATGGGTTTCAAAAAGAAGCGCATTACTAACTTAGTGTTGCCTGAGCCTTGATAATTACTCCTACTTGCGAATAAAGACTTGAGCTGTAAAAGTCTGGATGACCACCAGAGGGCAGTTCAGAGATAAAGAAAACTTCCTTTGCTGCCTAGGCACAAAGCCAGCACAAAACCTTGGGCCAGTCACTTTCTCTCGGCCCGAGGGGGGAGGCAATGGCAAACCACTTCTGAAAAACCTCCTCAGGGACTTGTCCAGGCAGCCTCTGAGAATCAGACACGACTGAATGGATCAGAAAAAAAGTGATTACTTAGATTTGTGCGGCCCCGATCTAGCAGCCCTAATTTAAGCAGACTGAAAAGAGGAAGATTGCTAGAGGAAACAGAGGTTTTGAGCTAAATGGGGGAGCATTCAAATCTTACTCTTTTACCTTATAAGGACACCAATTCCCTTCCTTTGATTAGGTGAGTTGTGGAAGATGTTATCATTGCTGAACTCGAGTGGTAGAAGTGGCCTGGAGGTCACCAGAAGGTCAAGCCTTCAGCAACCCCTCTCTCTGCACAGAGGCCCCCAGGGTCTAAATTAGCTTTCCTTCAGCTATTACCTTCCAGATGACTTAGATCACAACTCCCATCATTCCCAACCCACTTGGCTGGGAATGGGTATTGGTTTCAAAATAGCCAATAAAGATTTACATGTCAACAAGTACATTCATTCGTGTTCTCAGTTTCTAGTTTTGGGGTAAATTACAGAGAATTCATGATATGATGACGGGGAAGAGGGGAAATTTTATCAAGATTGCCATGTTCAATATTGTGTCTAATATGCCTTAGCCTACTTGCTCAGGTTTCACAGGATGTGGAGCAAGATGAAGAAATGATGCATCCCTTCAGTAATTTTGGTTTCCAGTTTCAACCTCCCATTCCAAGAAGAAAACAAAGTGTAATGCTATTATCATCACTAGGTAATATTACATCATACTCTGAGAACGGCTGCAACTATCCTGCTATTAGGACTGTAAATCAGCCTCAGCTGACTTTCACCAACTGATAAAACATTCACTCCACAATATTATATGTAAATGTACAAGCTGGTGAATAGTTAATCAATTAGTGACATCAGTTAATCATGGAAAAGATCAAGAGTATAGCTAAAATAGCAAGGCAGGCAAACCACTACTAATATATTCCACCAAAAATACTAAATATATGTACAGAGAAATGGGACTAGATGGCAAGCCTGAAGCTGAGGCACGATGCATTTGCCCCACATCATTCTCAACTTCTTGCTTCCAGAACGGATCAATAAGACCATCTTTGGCATCAGATGCTAAGCACGAGTGAGGGTATGGACTAGCATAAGAATTATTGGAGGTTCCTTAAAGAAGTTTCATGTCTAGCTAAGATATTAGGATAGCATGCATTTGGCTAAGATGCAGCTGGCTGGCTGTCTTCCCACAACATGCGTAACCTGTTACTAAATTAACCAATTATGCTACATTTATACAAATAAAGTTAGTTCAGGAGCCTGCAACTAAAATACTTTTTTTTGTAACAGAAATTGGAAATCTATGATAATCAGATATTGTTGAACAGGATCTCTCAGTGTTGGCCTGGCCTAAAAATTTGGCCCCTGGCAATATTCAGTCATAGAAGTAGGACTGATCAAGAATACATTCAGTAAGACTGCTGCAAATGAAAAAAAAAAAACACACCACATACATTGTCATTATGTATTCTATTTAAGGTGAACTCATTTTCTAATTTATGCACCACTGCAAAGGATAAACTCCTCTCTCAATCTGGAGCTCCATTTGCATTTGACTAATGCTTAAAGCAACAAAGACAGTGTGATTTTCTACAACGCTAGAACTAAGGGGGTTTCCTATAAGAAATCTAAAATCCAATTGCTATTCTTCCTTGAAAATTAATTTGTTGCTGTCCTTCAGATGCATTCAAGGGTGGCTTGTAGAATTTACTTTTTTTTTTTTTACTGGATTCCTCCTGGGTTCTGTCAACTGATGGAAAAAACTGACTAAAAGAATCTTGAGCACAGAATCTATTCTGAGTACACAAACCTAGTTAACTCCTTCCCCTCCCAGCACATCTCTATTTTAAATTCTTCATTTTGATTTAATTTCTCTAATGCAATTTAGGGAAAAGACAGGTTGTTGCTATTAAGAAGTAATTGGAAATGTAAAAATCTGATTTGGAAAGCAGAATGAAATCTTAAACATCTCATTTGTTCATTTTTGGATTTTCTGCAAAACAATTTGATGCTTGTTATTGAGCCTTTATCAGTAATCTTTTTCAGATTTGTAAAGCTTTGCAAGCCTCTTTAAAAGTAAATTCCACTCTGTTTCATGGAGCTGACTGCTCAGTTATCTGTAAATGTTGATTCCTAGTAGACGGCTACAGAATAGTACCCAGCAGGATGGGGGTGTGTGTATGTGTGTATCAGCATACACACACACACACACATATATATATATATGCATGCATGCATGCATGCATGCTGATATAAGCAATTTGCATTCTCAGAGGCCAGGTCAATTTGGGATAGAAAGTTCAGCTTTTCTCCCAGCAGGGTCTTACCATTTTCTCTCACGCTCCACGGTTCAGAATCTCATTTCATTTTCCCACAAATTTCTGAAATATTAATACCAAGCCCACTCCAGTCAAAAACATAGCTGTAGTATGATTAAGAACATTATTTCTCTGTATAACTGGAGGCGTCCCAAAATGCTAAATAACAATAACCTGCCATGAAGTTCCTAGTCCACAGTTAGTTTATGACCTCTTTCATTCTTAGCCAGGTAATCCATATTCCATAAAGAGGCAAACGGGCGCCACCAGAGCGCAAGCTTCCAGGCGCTTAAGTCGGAAGGCACCGTGCCAAGCGCCTTTGCGACCCAGGGGTTGAGGGCAGGGGCTTTCCGATGGCGGGGCTTCCACTCTCCATCCCGCGTGAAGCAACCCCAGAGAATATCAACCAGGCTTCTCGCACACACTTCCAGTTGATGTGTGCACTACAACGGGGGGTCCTCCCATACGAACGCCCGTCAAATATTATTAAGCAAGCAACACCGGGCATGGTCTGGACCAGGGCTCACGACTAAGGAGGTGGCCGGCTACAGCCCCCGAAATCGGTTTTAAAGTAAAGGAACTCCGTCTTACCAAATATCGCTTTCTCCTAAGGGATTCCGATCCCCAAGCCACCCACAGGTCGCTGCTGTCGACCCGCTCAGCTTCAACGCAGCCTGGAAAAGCCAAAAGGCGGGCGAGCACCAGAAGGGGCGCCTTCTCCACGTGTCCGGAGGAAGCGCAATAGCAGCGTTTGTAACGGGCGCCAGAAATGAAAGTCAACCTTCCCTGCCCCGATCATTGGTCCGGGCCACGTTACCGGCTGCTTTCAAATCTGACGACAGCTGCTGCTTCATTTGTTCAGTGAAACAGGAAGCTTCTCTCCTGGGGCTGCGAGCAGCTCTTTTCACCTTTTCTGAAAACATTGTTAAGCGGAATAGTGAGCGCTTCCACGCCGTTTATTTTTGGAAGCGTCTCTCCTTTGCAGCAACGCGCCAGACCCGGGATCTGCATTCACGTGCAGATTTCACGTAAGAACGAACGTGCCTGGGAAACTGGAAGCTGCTACTTTACAGAACCGTAGGTACGCACTTTTATGTCATTATATAAACATGCGTTTATTTCATGATTTTTATTGTTGTTCGCACTGTCAGCCAGTTGTTTAGACTGGATCTGGCATTTTTATCCACCTATCGAGTCCTTCCCAAGGACCTGGGATAGGCAGATGTTGTATGAGGTGTTAAAGGTATCGTCGCAGGATATAAGCTGTTCCAGATAAAGCTGCCTTTTGCAATCAATGCCGATGGGGTTCAAGTGGTGCTCCAGACGTTTTGGGATTGCACCCAAGGCACCCATTAATACTGGTGCTATCTTTGCTTTGTTTTGCCACAGTCGTTCTACTTCTATTTGCAGGTCTTTTTATTTTGCGATTTTCTCCAGCTCTTAATCTTCTATTCTGCTGTCTCCAGGTCCTGCAGTGCCCACTATCCAGGCTATTTTGTCTTTCTTATCAATAATTGTTAAATCTGGGGTGTTTTGTGGCAGATGCTTGTATGTTTGAATTCTAAAGTCCCGGAGCACTTTAGCATCTTCATTTTCTATTACTTTGTTTTGTGGCCCCACCAGTTCTTGCCTGCAGGCAAGTGGTATTTCTTGCAGTTGTTGTTGTTCTTATACTTT